GTGTCATCAGCGAATAATGCCACCTTAGATGTGAGAATATCTGGAAGATCGTTAATGTAAATTAAAAAGAGTATAGGGCCAAGGATTGAACCTTGAGGAACCCCTGAAGTTACAGGATGTGAAGAAGAGTGTTGTCCATCGAGGACAACTTTTATACTACGATTGGAAAGAAAGGACTCAATAATCTTAAAGACGTTACCAGCTAAACCATAAGAAGAAAGCTTATGGAGAAGACCAGCATGCCAAACTTTATCAAAAGCTTTAGAAATGTCAAGTGCGATAGCCTTAAACTCTCCACCACTATCTAATGCACGGTAAAACCTATCGGTTATTACTGTTAGCACATCAGCTGTAGAACGAGAAGACCGAAATCCATATTGATGATCAGAAAGTAAGTTATTTGATTCAAGATGAGAGATTAAGTGTTTGTTGATTAAAGATATGTCAAGAGCAATAGCCCTAGCCTCTCAACCTCCATCTAATTCATGATAAAATCTTTTAGTTACAGTAGTTATCAAATCAACTGTAGAGTGAGAGGATTGAAAACCATATTGATTGCCTGACAGTATTTAAGATGGGACAAGATGAATTTCTTGATTAAAGACTCAAACCAGAGTTGGCTTGGCTGTAAGCATGGGGGTCCTGTTTCAGGATGTGGGGGCCATGGGTGGTGGTGGTGGGGGGTGGTTAGTTAGTAGGGTGTGTCATACTTTTTTTTTTTTGAATTTTGACTCGCATAATTTAAAAAAGGGTGAGGTATAATATTACAAGTTTAGAACCGTCAACAAAAAAAAAAAAAAAAAAAGTTTTAGCTACCAGGGAACCAGAGACACTATTTTACCAAAAACCCTGGGGGAGGGGGAGGTATGAACTTAAAAAATTGAAGTATTTTTTAAAAAAAACTTACAAAACGCAAAAAAACCTCATCTCTATTTTAAAAAAAATATAATTATTTGTATAAAAACAACTAGAGTGGTTTGCCCCCCTCCCACTACCTCCCACTAAAATTGTAAAATTAGGTTGTTTTGGAATTAAAAATAAAACATTCATATAGATCCACAAAACATCTACTGGCACATTAAAATAAAGTACAATAAAGATTAATTCTTAAACGTTGTAAAGCCAATAAGGTTTTGTTTAGATAGATTTTGTGACATCAACTTCTGTGACAACTCTTGTCCTTTAATCCAACCATCTCTTCTATCTTCTGTAAAAACATTTTCGCAAGCCTGGGTAACTTTTTTTACACATCTTTTGACAGCTTGAGTGTGGCAACACCAGTTTGGTACAATCATTGGTTTAAAAAAATACTCTTTGATGTCTTTAGTTTTCATGCAACAAGTCAAAGGTGGTTCAAAAGCTTCATCGAAATCAATAAGGTCCTTGAGACAAATTGCTTTAGTATTGATATCTGGTGTCCTTCTTGGTCTAACAGATAGATCTCCAAGTTGTACATTTTCATCACCTTCTCCTCTTATTTCAAGAATTTTGTTTACACTGAAATCTCTCTCCTCTTTATTTTCAGAACAAAGCATAGTTTGAAGAATAGATTCAGAGAAGGCATACCAAGCAGATCGCCTAATAGTTGGAATGACCATATTTTGAATATCAAGTGACTGGTGTTGAAGCAACTTAAGCTGGTAAAGAACATGTTTTGGTCCTTCTGTCCAACTATATTTAACTTTGATGTTAAACCAGACAGGAAAGTACACTCCTACAATAAACTCGACTAGTTTAAGAAGGTTTTGTGCTGCATCGCCTTGAAGACCATGATGAGATACCCAAATTCTACATATTCTATTGGCTGTTGTTAGCCATCTGGCCATGTTAACAGGGCCAATTTCCAGAAGTCCTAGTTGCTGAGGAACATGACCACTGCATATAGCTTTAACTATTTGATAGCCATAATACTGATCTCTTAAAAGGTCTTTAACCACATCATTACTCAAGTTAAATAGAGACTCACCAGTTTCCACTCTACTAAAAAAAGGGTTAATTTCAAGATTGGTTGCTTCATTTAGTAAGCTTCCAATGGGTCCACTCCATTTTGTACCGCTTTTAGATTCTCCGTCTAACAATTTAATTAAACGTTTGAGTGGTAATTCATTGGTATGTAGAGCGCAGACAATCCAATTTAACTTTCGCCCTAATTTCAGCTCTATAAAGTGCATTACTCCTCCATCCCAACCAGTGTTTACATTGGTAGAGTCTCCGCCAATTGCTTTTAAGTGTGTACTAATGTTTCTCATTGCAGTATACTCAAGATTCTTATCTGCTATAATTTCAGCATGGTTCTTTTTTGCTTCTTTACCTGGAGTGAAATGAAATAAATACTTACCATCACCAGAACAAACAGAGTAATGTTCTTTTTTTACTTTAGCCGGATACTGTCTGTCTGATCCATCTACAGTTAAAAATACTTTAGTAAGATCTTTTTGCACATCAAAAAATATGCAGTCAATAATCTCTTTATCACAATAACCATCAAACTGAACAACAA